CTAAGCCACGGGGCCGGCCCTCACCATAGTTTTAATTGGCAATTCCCTAATGACATATGATGTTGAGCATTTTATCTTTTCATATACTTATTGCCATCTATCTATCTTATTTGGTGAAGTGTCTGTTCAGGTCTTTTGCCCATTTTTAAATCAAATTGTTTGTTTTCTCATTGTTGAGTTTTAAGAATTCTTTGTATATTTTGGAGAACAGTCCTTTATCAGATATGTCTTTTGTAAAATTTTCTCCCAGTCTGTAGCTTGCCTTCTCTTTCTCTTGACACAATCTCATTTTATTTTTATTTATTTATTTATTTTTTTGGTGAGTTAACATCTGTGCCAGTCTTCTTCTATTTTGTATGTGGGATGATGCCACAGCATGGCTTGATGAGTAGTGTAGGTCCACACCCAGAATCCGACCCTGAGATCCCCGGGCTGCTGAAGTGGAGTGTGCCAAACTTAACCACTATGCCACTGGGCAAACCCCACCACAATCTCATTTTAAAGGATTAAAATAGTATACTTAGCAGGAATCATACATTCCCATTCTTCTGGTATTTCCAGTCTCCTCCAAAGTGGTAACCACTGTCAACAGTTTGGTAAATATGCTTTGAGTCCCCTCACTATGCATTTATATAAATATGTATTCTCAATCTCTCTCTCTCAAATAAAATTTAAATGTCAAAAAGACTCAGGATTGCACTTATGGCCAATTGATTTTCAACAAAAGTGCCAATGCAATTCAATGAGGAAATGATAGTCTTTTTCAACAAACAGTACTGAGAAAATTGGATGTCTGCAAGAAAAAAGATGAATTTAGACTCTTACCTACACCATACACAAAAATGAACTCCAGAGCCAGCCCTCATGGCCTAGTGTTAAAGTCCAGCACACTCTGCTTCAGTGGCCCAGGTTTGGTTCCTGAGGGCAGAACCATACCACTTGTCTGTCAGTAGCCATGCTGTGGTGGCAGCTCATGTAAAAGAACTAGAAGAACTTATAACTAGAATGTACAATTATGTACTGGGGCTTTGGGGAGGAAAAAAAAAGAGAGGAAGATTGCAACAGATCTTAGCTCGGTGAATCTTTCCCAGCAAAATAAATAAATAAATAAAAGAAAATTAATCACAACTTACTTAAAAAAAACATGAACCTTAAATGGATCATAGATCTAAGTGTAAGAGCTAAAATTATAACACTTTTAGAGGAAAACATAAGAGATAACATCTGTGACCTGTGGTTAGGCAAAAAGAGTTCTTAGAAATGATGCCAAAATCATAACATTAAAAAAAAATTGATAAATCAAACTTCATCAAAATTAGAAATTTTTGTATTTCAAAAGGTACCATTAAGAAAATTAAAAAAACAAGCCACAAACTGGGAGAAAATATTTGCAAATATTTCTGATAAAGGACTTGTATCTAGAATATACAAAGAACACTTACAACTCAATAATAAAAAGACTAACCCAATTAAAAATAGCAAAAGATTTGAATAGACATTTCGCCAAAGAAGACATATGAATGGATAACAAGCACAAGATAAGATGCTGATCATTACTCACTACGGAAACCCAGATCAAAACCACAGTAAGAAACTTCACACTCAGTAGGATGGCTACACTAGAAAAGACAGTAACAAGCACTCGTGATGATGCGGAGCAGCAGGAACTCTCACACATGCTGGTGGGACTTTGGAAATGGTGTCATCACTTTGGAAAACAGTGGGGCAGTTGCTCAAAAAGTTAAACATAGGAGCCGGCTTGGTGGTGCAAGCAGTTAAGTGCTCGCGCTCTGCTGCGGCGGCCTGGGGTTTGCTGGTTCGGATCCCAGGCGCGCCCAAGGCACTGCTTGTCAAGCCATGCTGTGGCAGCGTCCCATATAAAGTGGAGGAAGATGGGCACTGATCTTAGCCTAGGGCCAGTCTTCCTCAGCAAAAAAAAAAAAAAAAAGAGGAGGATTGGCAGATGTTAGCACAGGGCTGATCTCCTCACAAAAAAATAAATAAATA